CACAAGACATATTATCTTGTCTGACAGATGAAAGTGGTCATAATGGACAGTTCAAACACAAGCTGTATTCTCTTGTCTGACAGATGAAAGTGGTCATAATGGACAGTTCAAACACTAGACGTATTCTCTTGTCTGACAGATGAGAGTGGTCATAATGGACAGTTTACCACACGATGACAGTACAACACGCCCGTTTACCACACGATAACAGTACAACACGCCCACTTACCACACGATGACAGTTCAACACGCCCACTTACCACACGATGACAGTTCAACACGCCCACTTACCACACGATGACAGTACAACACGCCCACTTACCACACGATGACAATGCAACACCGCCACTTACCACACGATGACAGTGCAACACGCCCACTTACCACACGATGACAGTGCAACACGCCCGTTTACCACACGATAACAGTACAACACGCCCACTTACCACACGATGACAGTACAACACGCCCGTTTACCACACGATGACAGTGCAACACGCCCACTTACCACACGATAACATGGTAAATATTTATGGATACCCTAGTGTCTCAAATGCAAAATAGTTAATTAGTGTTAGATTTCATCGATCATATTTTATATTGGTCACTAACTGTTAGAGGAACTAAATAACATTATAGAAAATAATACTTATTTTAAACTGTGGCTTTTATAAAGTATGAAATTATTGTACGTTACAAAACTGGTGGCCGAACACTGTACAAGTAGTCCACTTTAAACAACGTCCATAAAAACCTGGCTCTCGATATGACATCAGCATAATGATGGGTTTAGGTGGAGGCAGTTGTAAATCATCGTTTTACGAAAAGGAATTAAAAAGTAAAATAATAGGTTCGGTTATGACCTTGTCTGTGATTTGTTTGTTTCTCATCAATTCATTTTTCTCCATCACCAACTTCCCAACAATCCTCGGTGATGATGTCCTCCAAAACCGTAAATATTTAAAGTGTGTAGACAGTTAAAAAAGTTTTTAAAAAATGTTTAGGCTTCATAAGATGGATATATTATTGTAAGTTATGTTTGAATGTTATAATTTAGTTGTTTGCTAGAGGGAGCCGCTAATTATGATCATGATGCAACATCTAGAAAGTCGTGATGATTTAATGATGGAGAAGTTTTGTGCAGCATCTAGAAATAGGAGTACGTTGTAAATACGAGAATCAGTGAAGTAATGAATGAATGAGAAGCTATTAAGTAATTGAACGAGTTCAGTATAAGGAATGAGAGTTACCTCGTCTGTTTAATCGATCGCTTAGCAAGAAACTATGTAAGATATTTGTAAGTTATGCAAAGGTAGCATTAGGCTCAGAATTTCTGTTGCAACACTGTTTCTGAGTTCAAACCACAAGTCAACGTAATCGACAGAAATGTTATATAAGTAATTAATTCATTGTATTTACGTGGAAAGGACTCAACATTATTTTAAACAAATATTCCAAAAAACTCAGCACAATTTTATAATAATGGTGTCAGCAGTGGGATTATTTTGGTGAAGATAGAACTTTGACCAAACTTCAAGATGATGACAACACTGCCAAGAAACGAGATCGAAATTCTGCTTGAAATGATGAAACGGGTAAAAGAAAGTCAAGAAGACAGAGACAGATAATTAAAAGAACAAGATGGAAAATAAAATGAAGATCATGAAATAAGAGGAGTTAAAAGAAAAATACGTAATATTTAAAGGATTAAGAACACAGAATCTTATTAAAGATAAAATACATGAAGATATTGGGGAGTACAACAGCAAATTTGAAGAGCAGAAAGACATTAAAGAAATACAAGAAAGGGTGTAACAACAAAATCGAAGAAGTAACAAAAATGATAATTGACGAAGAAAAGAACAGCAATATCAGAATAAAATCTATGGTAAACGAATTGGTAAATGTAAAGATTAAACCAATCACACACACACCTTTCTGCATCTGCCGAAGAAGTCCAACCTAATGTACAATTTACTATAAAATATGAAATAAGAGAGCATACGTGGTCCACCTATTACCACTACTGCTGCTGTGCCATCTGCGACTACAAGACGTTCCTGGACTACTCCAGCCATGACACTACCAAATCAAGTTCCAGTATTTAGCTGACCAATAACATCACACAACTGAGGAACAATGGATTATGGGGGAAAGGTACCAAAGGAGATATATTAGGCTCAGTTCGAATATCGTCCAAAGTAAACGTATGGGTTGATGAACAACCAGCTGATCATCTTGCTGCCTTTCTTAAAGGACCAGCTTTAATGACATTAAGTAACCCTCC